GAGGACAGGAGCAGCTGGGGACAGAGGGCTGGACAGAGGGTGAGGATAAGAGGTAAGCTTGTCTGCCTGGACCAACCTCAATGGGAAGCCCATCCCTTCTTGAGTCAAGGGGATAAGGGGCAGCCCTCAGCCCCTCTGGAGCCAGCAGCAAAGGTATGGAGTTGGCATGTTCTCGGGGTAGCCCTCCCACAACCAAGGAGGCAGGGCAGAGATGATCAGTACTGGCCTGACCACACCAGGGAGGGGGACAGGCTCAGGAGGCAGCTGGGATGGAAGGCAGAGGACTGCCGAGGATCTGGCATGGGGGAGCCAGGGAGTGCTAGAGGGCCTCCCCGCTTGCTGCTCCCCCTGCCTCAGAGCTGTCCTGGCTGGCAGCTGGGGTGGGGCTGGGAGAGGAGGGAGGAGGGCAGGGAGGGGGACTGCCCAGCTGGAAGAGGCCTTGTCTAATTGTGCCTGATTAGTAGAGAGGAAGAGAACAGGGCGAGTGATTAATAGTCACGGCAGTCACCAGCGAGTGGGGAAGGAGAGCTGGGAGGGGGAGGGAAGTCTGAGAGCCATGGAGCTGTGAAGTGTCCACGGGTCCCTGGTCCCCTGCCCGCCCAGGGACTGCCTGGACCCCTGACGACCCCACAGAGAGGGGCCAGGTCCCACCCCTGCCTCCTCAAGGACTCTCCACCTTCCCCAGGCCTCAATTTTCCGGACAATAGAATGGAAGAGAAAAGACCAAGGTCATGTGCTGCACCTGGGAAAAAAGGTCTATTTGCTCATGTGGTGTTTCCAGACACCTCGATGTCCCCAGACACAGACCCTGACCTCAGCCCAGATTGGAGATGGTGGCACTTCCAACCAGAGCCCACAGCCACCACCTCACATCCTTGGACCCCAGTTGGAATTCCTAGCCCAGCCCATTCTGGCGGTCTGAGCCTCGTTCCTCAGACCACCGAGAACTACGCTGTCCAATATGGTTGCCACTAGCCACATGCGACTGTTTGAACTGACCATTCATTTGCCCTGTCACACCAGCCCCCCGTCAGATGCTGTGGCCGGTGACTACCCTACTGGACTGCGCAGATCCAGAACCTTCCCCCCATCCCAGAGATGTCTGGTGGGAGAGCACTGATCTGGAGAGTGTGTGTGCACACATGCACGCGTGCATGGATATTTGGGAGGGGTGGGTTGCAGGGCAATGCTGTAATAGTGTAGGGGGAGGGTCCGGGCCTGAGGGTCGAGACAGGGGGAAGGCCAGGTGATGGCCAGTGGCAAAGCTGCCGACACAGAGGTCAGAAACAGCAGCAGTCAGGTGAGAGAGCCGAGGCTTCCAGAGACACATGCACCACCAGGCAGCGCGCTAAGTTCTTTGCAGCCATCTTTTTCATCCTTAAAACTGCCCGAATTTTTTAGGTTCTACTATTGTATTTACTGAATATAGGAACCGTGGTAATGGAAGCTTTTTGACTTCTCCAAGGCCACACAGCTTGAAGGGGAGAGCTGAGGTTCAAATCCGGGCTGAGAGGAGATGCTGAATTTTAGAGCCACCCTAGCATTTTACAGCTAAAGAAATGAAGCCTAGGGAGAAAGAGTGATTTCTGCCTTCTAGTAAGTGGGCAGGCTGAGAGCAAGCCGTAATGGGGAAAGTATGGATGGGGCTTGGAGCACCAGGGTGGGGGGGAGCAGATGGTGGTGGGAATTGGGAGGAAGGGAGAGAACATATAGGTGGTGAGAGCAGGAGGTGAGGTGGGAGTGGGTGGGTGGGGATGAGACTAAGGAGGGGGAGGGGGAGGGGAGGAGAGGAGGAGAAGGGCCCCTAGGGAGCTGGGCGGAGGGGAGCATGGGTGGGGCCAAGAGCATCTCCCCGATCTCTCCCGTTCTCTCCAGACTCCCCAGACCTGCCTCATGCCTTGAACCTTTCCAGCCTTCTTCAGCCCAGAGTGGCCTCTCTCTCTCTCTCTCTCTCTCTCTGAACTCAGGCTCTTACTCTTCATGTACTTCTTTTGGCAATTAATCCTGGACCTCATGACACCGCTTGCATGGCTGGTTAACTCTTGCATGGTTGGTTAAGCTTCTGAGCGTCCCTGTCTCTGCTCCACCGCGAGAGTGTAGGCTGCTTGAGGACAGGGACTGGGGACTGGGGCTTCCCTTCTTTGTTCTCCCCCACGCCACCTAGCAGGCACGGAGCAGGCACGCCGAGCTCCATGTTGACTGGGTGAGTGACTGGGAGTCAGTGAGGGGGTATCAGGGAGCGTGGGGGGGAAGCAACTGCAGTGGTAAGAGAAGCAGGAGCAGCAGCTTAGGGGACTGGGGGAGGGCGCATTACCCGGAGTAAAAATAGGCTGGAAAATGTGACATTTATTAACTTGGATTCTGGAGGAAAGGTCACAGCAGAGTGGGGAGTGGGAGGGAGGAAACAGGGAAAGCAACAGAAAACACATCGCAGCCCCTTACCCAAAGCCTGTCACTGTCACTGACCATCTCACCACCCGTGCCCGGGCAGATTCCTCGCCACCTGGTCCCCGTACCTGTCTCCCTACCACTGATCCCCAGCGTGAGCTGCATGTTCTTATCACAGGGCCCGTTGTGGACCTCCGACCTCAGTAGAGACCCCATGTCTTCCTCTCCTGCCCCTTCTCCAATCTTGCCCCACAAGACACCCCCATCTTGTCCACTGCCACAGATTATGGACTGCCATCCCAGCCAATAATCCCAGACCTGTTGTATTTGCAGCAGACTCAACCCTGGAAGGCCAGGTCCCAGGGAGAGTTACACTCAGCAAATGGGGGATGGGGTGTGGGCAGGAGGGTATGGCGTCTAGACCGGGTGGGGGACACAGAAAGCAGGATCCAAAGGGGAATTCCTGTCCCCCAGGGCTTGCTTTGTCCCTCCGCTCTTCTCAGGCATGCCACAACCCCAAAGCTGAAACCCACAAACTTCGCCTGCCCTCCTCACCCTGCCCCTGCAGCCCCAGAGTATGAAAAGGCCTGCGGATGTCCACCCTCCTCTTTAGCCATCCTCAGGATTCCCTGTTCCCATAACCTCCAGGCACCTCCTCCTTTCCTAGAGCCAGGCAGGAAACCCCTGCTTCCCTCCCCTTACCCATCTCTCCCTGCTCCCTCCTCCCCTCCTTCCCACTGAGGTTTCAACACACTTCCCCTTTCGTTGCTACCCCCAACCGGGGCCTGAGATGCAAACTCCCGCTCAGGGACACAAAGCTCCCATTGATTTCTGCCCCCACAGCACCTGCTGAGACTGGGCTCTGTCTGCCCCCCCAACTTTGAGGGGTGAGGATGTCAGACAGAGGGGCCCCAGGGACCCCAAAGGCCACATGCACACTCTCAACACCTCACCTCCTCCTTGGGGACTCCTGCAGTCCTGGGTTTGGGAGCAGTGATTTTTTCCCAGAAGAGGGTATGTAAGCCACACAAAAGCCTGGCACCCCCCAACCCAGCACTATCCCTCCTTCCTGTCCCTTCCTCCATTCCTACCCAACTGCACCCGCATCCCGTGGCAGGAGGACCCCGCGGCTGCAGGCATGGGTGGTGGTGAGAGGAGCCATAGTAGGCCTGCTAGGGACATGTTCCCTGCCGATGCTGAGGCAGTGAGTGAATGGGAACCTGGGCCGGGGGCAGCTGGGCTGGAGGAAGGCAAGCCCCCCACTCCCGCTCCCATCTCTGGGGCAGGCCACTGGAGGCTGGCTGGAGTGGGCACCATGTTGATGCCATGTATTTGCATACGCACTGGGTAGTGGTGACAAGGCTGCAAACATACACATGTACACGACGCTGGGAGTCAACTGTTGCCTGGGGACAGGCATCCCAAGCACCAGGGATAATAGATACCCCGTGACCATGGGTGAATGGAGCACTGACAGACAGACAGCCCACGAGACATGCCCCCCACACTCACACCTGACTATGGGAGGGCAGCCTGAGCCGACATGCCGATCCCAATGAGAGTGTGTGTCTGCTCACACACGTGTGAGACATGGCACCAGCAGCCCCCACGTGGGGAGCAGGGCTTGAGGTAGACAGGGTGGGGGGAGCATTCGGAGAGGGGATGGCATCCATAGTGTGGCCCTGTGCTCAGCAGCTAAGTGAGAGCCGGGATGTGGACATGGGGATGAGGAGCTCTGGGTGTGTGGGTGTGCAGGTGTGCTTGTGAGTGTAGTGACAGGGACACTGAGTATGCGAGAGGCAGTGCAGGAAACTGTCCCCAGCAGCAGGGGTGTGTGTGTGCGCGTGTGCGTGTGCGCGCGCGTGCGTGTGCTGGGTCGCAGCGAGGGTGAGCCGTGCACACAAGAGTGAATGAGTGATTCTCAGTGTAAGAGCCAGAGCCGGGCAAGGGAACAGCAAGACCCAGGAAACGGAGGGAGGGCGAGCTGGAGAAGCTGGAGGGGCCGCATGAAAGAGGGATGTGTGAGAGAGTCTGTGAAAGGGGGTGTGTATGAGAGACACGGAGACAGAGAAGAGACACTGGCGCCCAGTGTACCCGAAGATCAAGACCGTTTCTTCCAGCCTGCCAGTCGGGCCAGCTCCCCAGGAGGCAGCCCTGAGTCCCTCTCTTTGCTGGAGCCCCCCAGACACCCTCTTCCCATCACCCTCATCCAGGGGGGAGAAGAATCCAGTAGCCACAAAAGGAAAAGGGAACAACAGATAAGTGGGGGTCAGTTGCTCCTGCCTTGGCCCGGTGCATCCCTTCCCTGCAAGCTGCCCGGCTTCCGGGGCCCCCGGGCCCACTCCAGGCCCCCTGGCCCCAGACCCGGGCACTGCACCACCAAGAAGAGGAGCCGCCGCAGCAGCAGGGTAAGCCCCGAGGAGTGTCCCCTGCTCCGTGGCCAGGAAGCCCGACGGCAACACCCGGGCTCGGGGGAGACACGAGGCCAGTCTCTGGTGGCGGAAGGAAGGGAAGCCCTGTGGAAGATGCCCGTGTGCACGCCCCCGCTCCCCCCCCCCCCGCCACCAGCCTCTGGCCACCCCAGGCCGGGCGCGCCAGCTGGCAGGACTCACCACGGAGAAGTTGCTGGCGGAACAGTGATGCCCACTGAAGTTGCAGCTCTTGAGCATGTCGGCAAGCTGGTGGCCAGTGCGGTTGAGGATGTCTACCATGTCGGGCTCCGGGTAGCGCAGGCCGGCGGCACGGTGCCCGTCCCGGTCTTTGGGGGGCAGCCCCGTCAGGTTGGCCAGGTGGAAGATGTCGGCGTCGCTGAGGGCCGAGTGCCGGAAGCGGTTGATGTTGCAGAGGGTGACCGCCGGGAAGCCCGCCACTGGGGCTGGGGCGGCAGGGTCCATTGCCACCAGGTGAGGCCGGGTCAGGTAGCCCCGGGCCAGGCCGGCAGCCTGGTACAGAAAGGCGGCCAGCGAGGTGAGTAGGGCCAGTGCCCACAGGGTTCTGCGCAGTCCGTGGGGGCCTGGGCCACAGGCCCGGCCCAGCCCGTGCAGAGTGCTGGTGCTGGCAAAGGTGGCCAGGTCCCGGGGGGCTGCTGTCCCCTGTGCAGCCCCCAGGAGGCTTTGCTCATCCCCTGCCTCCTTCTCCTTGGGTTTCGCATCCTCCTCTGCAAATTTGATTTTGCACACAATCTCGATCGGCATCTGTCCCCGGCTGCTGGGACTGTGGCCGGAGCCTCCCTGCCCCTGTCCCTCCCTGGCCAGCGGGCCCCCCCCCCCAGTTTCCCTCCGGAGTGGCGGCGGTGGCAGCGGCCGCTCTTTGAAACTCAGGGCAAGCGGGAGGAGGACAGGGACAGGGTGGGGGCCCGAGGTGGGGGAGTCACTCCCACTCCCAGCAGCTCCGCAGCCCTGCCGCCGCTGCCTCAGCTGCTGCTTGTCTCTCTCCTCGATCGGCTCCTTGTGGCTTCCTTATCAGCACCAGCACAGCTGTCAGCCCCTGCGTGTGTCCCTGCGAGCGAGCGAGCGAGGGAGTGAGCGCCGCTCCGCCACGCCGCGCAGCCCCAGCCGCGCCGCTCAGCATGTGCTCCGGAGCCCACCCCGTGCTTAATAATTCAGGACATGTCAACAGCGCTTCACCGGCGCCTCTGGCAGCAGGAGCCAGGCCAGGGGCGGGGGGCAGCACCCCCACCCCTCCACCCCTCCCCGGGCCCAGGACAGGGATCCCTGGGCCCCTGCCCCAGACCTCGTCGGGCTGCCCCCCCAAACTCTTGCTACAGCCTAGGCACTCGTGGGGTCCCCAGACGGCCCCACTCCCAGGCCACCCAGGGAAGACATCTGCACCCAGAGGCCTCGGTTCCTTCTGCCACTTTTCGGGACCACACCCGGGAAGGGTCAGCCAACTCCACCCCCCACCTTCCTGACTCCTGACTCCTGACTCCTGACTCCAGCACCCAGCCACCACCTGCCCCCACTACCCTACTCACGGCGGCTTCCAGAAACTCCTTGGGAGAGCCACTTGTTAGAATGAGGGAGGAGAGGGCAGAGGAGGGCAGGCAAGACAGACAAGGGGATCATGGTGACGCCACCAAGATGCTTGGCTTCCCTGGAGCTTTGCTCCCAACTTCAACACCCCCCGTGCCCCCGCCTGCCCTGGGACGCTGGCCGCCCCCTCCCGGCCCCCCAAACTCAGTCACTCGCGGGTCTGGGACAGGACGCCCTGGCTGCCTTACACATCTATGGCCATTTGGCTGATCCAAACGTTTCTCAAATCTCTTGCCAAGCCGGGCTGGGGGTGGGGGGAGTGTGTGGGGTGAACAGGCCAGGGAGCAGAGACCAGGTATGACGGGTGGGGGAGACGGTGTGGAATGGAGGGAGAGGGAGAGCCCACATGGGGATTTGGGAAGGAGGAGAAATGTGCGGGCTTGAATGGGAGGGAGTACTAGCCCAGAAGCAGAAGCAGGGGGTGGCCGGACCGAAGGGCAGGGGAGCCCTGGCCTGGCTGCTGGCTTGCGGAGGGGAAGCAGGCACGTGGGTTGTTCTCACAGGCAGGGGTGGGTCCCCAGTTGGCAGCCCAGGAGGAAATGCCTTGGTGCTCCCAGGGTGGAGTGGTTACAGTGAGCAGCTTGTGTTCTGGGGCGGGGGGGGGGGAGGCCCGTGTGAGAATGTGAGCCCTCCCGGGGGAGGAAGCACTTGTCCCCCAGACGAAAGGGGGGACTGATTAATCGGGGCGCTAATGAGCAGCAGGGAGAGGAAGCTCAGAGGGGCGGGGGAGGCGGCTCCATCGATCCGAGCCGCGGAACCAGCAGCTGAAAAAAAAGTGAGAAAGGAATCGATCTGAGGGAAACGGCAGCTGCTGGGGATTAGAGCCCCAGGTCCGCCCGCTGCCCAGAGGCCACCCCTCCCCGGCGTCAGGCCTGCCCCGCCAGTCGCAGCCCCCGCCTGGACCCAGAGGAGGGGCCCAGGGGCGGCTACCCTGGGGAGCAGGGAATCTGTCACTGCCCACCTTGGCTGCGAGGCCAGGTCAGGCCTCATCAGGCACCGGTCACCCCAGCATGGAGCCCACCAGCCCCGGCCATGCGTGGCACCCTGCTGGGGTGGTCCCCAGCCTCTCTCCAAAGTAGCTTCGGAGGGGGGGGGGGCCCTGCGGCTGGGCTTCCCCCACAAGCAGTCTCCCCCCAGCTGGGAAGAGGAGGCCCCTGGGGTAAGGGCTAGGGCTGGCAGCGTCCTAGAGGGAAAAAGCGGGGAAGGCACGGGAAGCAGCCGCTGAGTGAGCCCTCAGAGCCTCCAAGTGACCACAGACAGTGGCCCCTACCCGGGCAGCCCCCTGCCATGCTCTGCCTTCCCTGCTAGACTCCCAGACCCTTTAGTGCTTCCGCCCCACCTCCTCCTCTCCCAGCCTCCCCCCCTTTCTCCTAGTATTGATTTTTCTTTACTGGGTTTTTTTTTTTTTTAAGGTGATTTAATTGCTTTTTTAAGGTTACTTCAGTCTGGGGCCCTCCCAAGAAAGCGGGGAACTGCCCCCCGAGCTCTCCCCAGCACTCGGTGCTACCCTGGGCTCAACGCATGTCCCTAAATTGCCCTGAGATCCACCGGGATCACGGGGTCATATTCCCCTAATATACTGGTCTCCATCATCAGCCCAAATCACACCTTCTTTCCTCTGGAGGGCATGGTAGGAAGCCTCTGAAGGAATGAAGTCAGGGGGTGGGTGGAGAGAGGAGTTCCAGGCCACTCGGAACTGGAACAGCAGTTCACTGCACTCCCCCCACCCCGCAACTGCCCCACAGCCAGCTGTCTCCAATTGTCCCCAGGTCCCCATCACCCAGTCTCCCAGACCCCTAGGAATCCGGTTATGCTTGGTGGGAGCCCCCTCCCACATCCCCTCCGCCCATCCTGCACCTCGCCCTCCAGTCTCTTCTGTCTCCTCTGCCCCCCGTCCCCCTACACCCCCTTCCCCTCTGGCCCCCCCTCCTTCCCCCCCCCCCCCCCCCTCCCCCCCCCCCCCCCGCTTCCCTGCTTGCCTCCCTCTCTGCCCGGCTGCAGTTGGGTGATAATCTCCCTCATTTAGCCTCCCGGCTGCTTCCCCGGCTCATTGCCCAGCTGGTCCCTGGGGCCCGGCCCAGCTTCTTCCCCACCCCCACCCCCAGCCCTGCGCCCAAACTCCCCCCATCCCCTCCTGGCTTCCCCCACCTACTCCCCTGGGACCAGCTGTCCCTCTGCAGTGAGCAACAGGGCCAAGCGAGGTTGGTCGCGACCTGAGCTGGGTGTGAGCCGAGGGGGGAGGGTCTGTCAGGGACTCGGGCTAGGAGTGGGTGTGGGGCACAGGAGAGGCACAGGGGTGAGGGGGCTGCAGGGCCAGGCTTCCTCGGCTCTCCAGTTGTCCCCATTGCCCAGATTTGTTCCCGGTCCAATTCTCCACCCAGCCCCATGCCCCAGAGGTGAACGAGGCTTCCCGATGGTGGTGGATGGAGCGGCAGGCAGAGAGATTAGAGTGGCATCTGCACAGCCAGACAAGGCAGAGAGCCTGGGAATGGGGGACAGAAGGGTGAGGGAGGGGACAGGGAGGGCAGGAGCATTCTGCCAGAGCACCTGAGGAAGTGCAGGTTTTATTTGGGCAAAATGCCTCAAAGGCAGACCCAGAGACCTCCCATGATCCAGCTTGGGGGTTCCAAAGGGAGCCTCCAAGGTCCTTACTGCACCCAGGCTTTTGGGACTTTGCCTTTTTCCCAGCAGAGCCCCCCTCCTCCACCCCCGGTGCACCGTCTGCATTTGCCCCTTCTCACCTCCCTTCCTGGGTGGCCCACTCATAAACGACATGACCCCCAAACTCTTAGCATTCTCCTAGACAGAGTCCTCAGCCTCCCCCTGCTCCCAGAGGACGACACCTCCCAGCCACGCTTCCCAGCCAGACACCTGTCCCAGCCCTGGCTCTGGTGCGGACCAAGGGATGAGCTAGTGTGGGACAGACGTGGGCGGGAAGGGACAAGGATGGGGGGGTGGAGGCCGGGACTGGGCCAGGCCTGGCTGGTGAGCGAGCAGCGGTGACAAACGGGCTGTGCGGGGGCCGAGGGGCGGGGGGCGGACGGCGGCTGATTTATCTGGGTTATTTATGCCGCGGACGAGGCAGGAGAAGCGGTTAATGAGAGTTCCAGCGAAGGGGGGTGGGGAGGCCCGGACGTGATCTGAGGCAACTGAAGAGGGTTAGCGTCCCACTGCCAGGCCCTGCCCCCACTGCTGGCCAGCACTCTGCACCCCCTACCCCATCTTCGGGCCAGCCCGGCCTGACCCCTTCCTCTACGGGGGATGCCCAAGCTGAGGCCCTGGATCACTGGGGCTGAAGGGCACCAGGTCCAAGCTCGAAGGGCAGGCGACTGGAGGAACTGAGGAGGGGACCAGAAAAGGAAGACGAAAGGGGAAAAAATCTTGGCGAGGCAGAAACTGCCCAAGTCTCTGTGGGGCCTTCAGGGGGCGGTTGGGGGAGGAAGGACCAGTGTGGGAGTGGGTGGGCACCCGGCAACCTCAGAACAGAGCCTGGAGAGAGGGCAAAGGGCACTGGGGTGCAAATTTGGCGTCGGTCAGGAGCCATCCTGGGGGCCTGCGAGGCAGAGACATGCTGGGAGTGGGGGTGCTGGTCAGAGAAAAGAGGGAGCCAGGAAAGGAGGGGGAGAAGATCCAGAGAAGGAGGGGGAGAGGGCTTTGCAGCAGTGAAAGCTGCTGGGAGCAGATAAGGCGGCTGAGCAGCAGGAGGGATTAAAGCTCTGAGGGGCAGGGGCGGGGGCGCGGCGCGGACGGGGGTGGGGGGCAGGAAGGAGAGGGCCGAGGGTAGGACATCGGGGCCAAGACGAGCGGGAGAAACGAGGGCTGTGAAGGGCGTAAGATTAAATCGGGGGCCCAGAAGGTGGCTATCGCCTGGCAAAGAGAGGAAAGAAGGGGCTCCTGATCATCTCATGGGGGTGGGGACTTTCCCACTATTGGCGAGCCCCCATGCCCTGCACATGCCAAGGGTAGCAGAGCTAAGCAGAGGGGTGCACGGCAGATGGGGTGAGTGGGAATGGCCGGGGCCAGCCCTGGGAGCCTGGGAGCTCCCGGCTAGAGAACTGAGGGCACGCAGCGCCTCCTTGAGGTGGCAGATGGAACACCGTCACGGGGAGCCACAGTCAAGGGTGCTCCGCCAGCCGGCGCTGGGATGGAGACCCCATCACACCCAGTGTGGCAGGAACCAATGTTTCACAGGGGATTTCTTTGTGGGGAGCAGTATGGGCATGGAGGGAGGGCAGTGGCTTGCCCAGGCTCACGGCTCAGACCCGCAGCCCCTCACCACCTCCTGCCCTCCTGTTCTCCAAGCCTCCCAGAAAGGTGTGCTCGGGAAGGGGGAGGCCCCTGCTCCCTCCTGAAGAGCCGAGATGGCAAAGGCAGCAGAGGGGAGCCCGGAGGGAAGGAAGGGGAGGAGGAAGAAGGGGCGGGGGGAGGGGAGCGGGGGTGGCAGGCGGGGCAGAGTAATTGTGTGTTTCTCAGTTCTGTCTGCACAGGAGGGAGCGAGTGTGATGGTGGTGGGTGTAGCTTCGCCTCGAGGAGTATGTGTCTGTTGGCAGAGGTGTCAGTGTGT